ATGGGGAAGCTAGAAGGTAACAAAGCTTAACTAGTTTTGTAAAACTTCGCCCATATCCAAACAATATCTGAAAATTCTTGAGTTGATTTCTTTAAGAATTTGCGGATTATTCTAGCCTTTGTGAAGCTGATGGGAATTAAAATTAACAAACTCTAGTAGTACCGGACGAGAAGGAACACACGGGTGAATATTATCCAAGGTAACTATCCGTGAGTGAGTTTTGCGACATCAAATTATCTTTTATGTATTAAAAAACCGTCAAAAATACACCGAGTGCTATTATTATTCACGTACAAAAATTTCGCTGTTAACAAGACCGGTAAAAATTATAACCATCAGACGATGATTTGTTGATGATCTAAATCGTTAAAGGTCGTTTAATAGCACGCCGCAATTAAAAGATATTCACTTTTAGGGTCGGGTAACTTCAAGAATCGTAATTATATCTCGTTGCAACGATTAAAAAAATATTATTGTATATTAACTACGTGCCTATTAGATAGATTCTCGTTCGGTTAGAAACTTATGACTTGAATTAGTTACGAGTTTAATCTGTTCTTGCCGTAAGAAATTAATTTGTTGCCTTTTTAATTGATCCATACTGACAAATAGGGGTAGGTGGGTAGGTCGCTGCATCTTGATAGTGAGTTTTTACAGGCTTTGTTGCAAAGTTCACAGAAAAACAGACAGAATGAATGATTGCCCTATTTCCGCAATTCTGATAAATACAATACTTGATTAGTAATTATCTCATTATTTAACACAACTTCCATTAATAATAAAATTTGCAATTTACATAAGGACTTTATCAAACCCACCTGTCATGTTTATTAAAGTAATGAATTAAAACTTTCTATTCTAATAAAGTATGGACTTTATGCACAAAACCTATTCTCATTGTTCTTAATTAAAATTTGAAATTATTAATTTAATAACAGATGATTGAAGAGAATTGTACTATTTAGCCCAACTATGTAGATTTTGATGTGAAACAAGAAAATGTACTAGAATTATCATAATTGCAAAACTAATTACACATAATACAACTAAAGTGAATTATATTGACTTTGACGTTTTCCCTGTATTATTAACACATCATTATTATTCATTTACGATCACAGACCTCGTAGCGAATTAAACGCATTAAGCAAACATTGAAAAAAATCTCCATTGTCTTATTCAAACTTCTCTAAATAAAGAAGTTAAATCATCTAATTGTGCGTTTTAAAGCAAAGAAAGCGTTAAACAGAATTTACTTGTGGTTGCGCAAGTACCCCAAAAAATCATCACGACTCTCAAAATGTGTTAATCAATCGGCAATGAGGACACGAAAGAAATTTTCCGCTTTTGCATCGTCGCAGCATAAACTGATTATATATTTTTGTTACCAATATTACACAAAACACAATTAAAAATGCCTAATAAGCATAATTAGAAATGAAAGCTATATGCGCTGGTAGTTTGTTTAGTTACTTATCTGTTGAATCGCCAATGTTAATTAAAACCAGAAACAATGATAATAATAAATGGTCAGTCAGGGAAACCGAGTGAAAAATTTGGAAAATTAATACAATCTTCCGAACTAAACATTCATTAATTCCTAATTTTTCACTTGTTTACAACAAAAAATTGCAAAGTGTAGGTCGCGGAACAGTTCAAATTTCTAATAAGCTTGTTAACAAGTAGAAAAAATCATAATTGCTAAAATTATGTCGAAAACAAATTCGATACAGTTATACCGAGAATTTGGCGGTATAAAAAGCTGTTGCAAAATAAAATTTCACAGAACAAATATTCAAAATAATTTAAATTATTTCTATCAGATTCTAATGTAGTAAAACGCAAAAAATCTATTCAAAAAAGGTAATTAATAGACACAAAACCACGAAATTTTATTCAGATATATTTATTATACGCAGTGTGACCTAAAATAGGCTCATGGACCACCCACGTGCCATTCGTTACTTCATGAAAATTCATAAATTCGGTGCAATAAAAATGTTTAAGCTTTTGTTAAGGCTCAGTGCTTTTCGAAATCTGTCATTTGGTCTACAAACTGATCTAATCGTTCGATTTGTAGCAAAGTGGGTTAGAGGAGATTTCGGCGTTACATAATCCCTCAGTAAATAAATAAAAGAGTACACCGTTGATTATGTTCAGTGAAAGTCGTGCGCTCTTCTCCTTTTTTCAATAGGAAATCGCACGATATTTGCTTTATGAAGTTAATTTGCGTATCTTGTGATACAAAACTAACAAAAAGAAAACTTTAGTCGGAAATTAAACTAATTTGATTTTAATGCCGCAAGATGTGACAATCATGCCGTAACACCTACCACCATAACATTTTAATTTAATAATTTTGTTTATGTTTGTATAAAGCTAGATAATGTTACGCTGGTTTAACAAATTTGACTGCGGCCTCTAAACCGTGACCGCAGACTACTAATTTACCACTCGAGTTTTTTGACAGTTAAGCCGTTATGTGCTAGGCAAATCAATTTTTTGTGGTCTTGTGTGATTTGGGATTAATTAAACTGAGAACGACGGTAATTGTTTCCGTTTCAGACACCCGATTCGGCGACGTCACGGTAACATTACCGGCAACGCCAGTGATATAACGAAAAAACGATCGTAATTTACAGAATTGTTTATGGAAATTACGAGCAGCCAGTTTTTGCTATAATTTACAAATGGTAATTACAAGAAAAGATTTTATTCAGCACTAGATTTCCCACGATCGTTAAGCAAACAAAGCTGAATATTATTCATTCATTCATGGTTTTATTTTAACCTTTAGGTTTTATTCAGGTCATTTATCGACGGCACCGTTTAATTGATTCTAATTGTGATTGTTTGGAAAACGGGAGAATTTACATCATTTTTAACGGCGACCAAACACAGTAATGTCGTGCGAACAAATTAATTTATTCGTTTATCTACGGAACGGTGACGCTGTTTCGAAATTTTTGTCACCGAAATAGGCAAAAACAAGAAAAGGGTCACAATAGTTGTGTATAAAATGTTTTGTACCGTATTTAAATTGTACTTAAAATATGGAAAAAATAGCATTAAATCTACTTCTAATGGAGCACTTTTTCCTTTTTTCATGGGAATTGCAACACTGATATCAACGAAGCGATATTACGAAGAAAAGCATTGCCTACCAAGAATACCATTGTCTTGTTAATGAATAAATTTATTTGCTTTATACCTTTCCTCCTATACAAATAAATGTTTTTATTTGGGTTTTCGTTGTTTTTCTAAAAGCTCATTGAAAGTTCTAAAAAGTGTAAAAGCCCCAATTCGTGAATAATGGATTTCGTAGCGGCCGAACAATAAAATCGTGCGTTAATTCCCTTATTAATTAATCGTTTAAAATTTAATGATCTTGAATTTTAACGAGGGTCGCTGTCATTAAAATATTATAAATATTAAAAAACGAATTCTGGGCATATGTTTAGTAAGTTAAATTGGATGTATTTTTCGGGGGAATTGTTATCTGATTTGGGTCCCCGCTAACCGTAAAAACGCGAGTTCAGGTGTTTTAAATCATTTAGACAAATTTCGGCAAAGGCCGCGACACAACTGATATCTCATCAAAGTTTGTAGCGAAAGCCGTGTTTCAAACACGAATTAAAATTTTTGGCATTGCGATACACATCAAGGCGTTACATGCATATTTATATCCGTCGGTGTATAATTGCCTCTTAAGTATTTTTACAATGGCTTTTAGTATTAAAATTGCGTTCGGTGAGAGAGCATTAGGATTTTTTCCTGATGCTAATGACGGTGGTATTAAGAGGTCCCCGTCAATTATTCGGCGGGCCCTTTCATAATAATTGTATTAATAAGCAAATTACGTCGTAATGTGGTAGCGAAATGTGTTTAAGAAGGCGACTTTTTACAGGATACACGCTGTCCGTTAATTTACCGAGTTTTACCTGCGAAACCCGACATATTTTAAAATGCATTAAGTCATATAGCAAGGCAGCTGACTGTGCGGAGGTAGTGTTATTATGCTCGGAGATGGGTGATAAAAAATACCAGAAAGCGGCCAAAAAATTGTCTCAAACAAATTACGAAAATAAACAAAGCTTTCCTTTAATTTCTTCCAACCGGGTAATTTATCATAAGAGATGGATTTTATTATAGATGTAGAGTGTAATTAGCGCGCGTTTTGTTCAGCTTCTCACAATACGCAAATTCCTGCTCTTTGAATAATGATGATTGTTGTGTTAACCGGAAGGAAAACGTTGTTACGTTCAAATTAACAGTTAATAAAGTTCTTGCAAATTGATCGGAATAGTAGAGAAGCACATTTGGCGCCATTTTTTCCCGGTCAGGTAGACGCGTCTTAAGATTTTTCTCATTAGTTAGGGCTCAGGTAAAGAAGCGAAAAGATGGTTTTGGGGTGGGTATCGCATGCGAAATCAAGGAAGTTTTTTACGAGCCCCAAATTAATTTCTCAGAAACATCTTCAGTTCGACTACAATGAAACAAACCTCTTAAACGAATCACTCCAGCGAGGAATTTCCAAATTAACTAGTTAAATACTTAATTTTGATTATGCAAATTGTTAATAAATCATTTTAAATTTAAATAGAGAAGCGATGAATATTCAAAAGCAAAATTAAAACCGATTTGTGGCCTTTTAGTCGCTACAAGGATCCCTTAACCCGATTTGAGGGAGGTTTTCCCCGCGGATATGTATATGTGTTATGAAAAGAACATTTAAACCTGTTGCGGCCCTTGAGACATCGGGGTTTCTTCAACACGCGATCCCTTTCAATAAAATACCTACCCCCCAAGGTTATGACACTTTTACAAGCTGAATATTTTGTCACAAGGGTAAAAAACAGCTTTACAAATAAGGGAAAGCCAATTGAGATTTATTGCTCATCATAAACGATTGCAAATTTTTGAATTTGTGCCAACTTTTTTACGGTACCCGAAATTTAGAAAGTTTTATGGTGCCTTTTTTAAACTCTTTTATTACTCACCATATTGCTTCTCCCCTGATGGTGTCACCGGAGAATTTGCAATCTCTGCAACAAAAAAACAAACTTCAATAGTAAAATACTCGACTACTCCAAAAGTGTTGAAAAAAGAATGGAAATATTTGAAAGTAATTTCTTGTAGCGTATCACCAATTATAATCTAATTAGACAACAGTTGAATTATATTTGAATCTTCTTCGGTTTCTGCCTGCCACATTACAAACCTGAACAATATTTCTTTTGAGACGTGTTATAACACACACGTTACGCCTTCCCACAAATTAAAATATTTATGTTTTGCATACCGTCATTGATTTATGCGTGCTGGGCGATTCTTTCTGATCATATTTAACCTCGCATCATGCAACAACAACTACAAAAGAAATATACGAAAATAACACCTGAAACATTGTTATTAACCAATTAAATCGCACAAAAGACATTTCATATTCTTGTTTTATCGACTGGAAGTCAGATTTATATGCAAAAGAGAAAGGTTTATGGGCCACAAATGAAAACAAACTCACGCGACTACACCTCAGAAATAAACGAGCGAAATTATTATTTTAAAAATTTCGTTTTAATTATACGTTAGATTACATTCTATAATTTATAGTTTTTTTAGGTACTAGCCATAACACACTACCAGTGGCGAAGGTAAAACTCGTTTCAAACAGAAATTTACAAAATATAAATATTTTATCAAACATAAAAGTTTGAAATTCAAATTATGTTTTCATTTTTATTCCATATTTATCGTTGTGTTTTGCAAATTGTTCTCTTAATTTGTGCAGATATCCTCGCAATTATGGCAAAAAATGTTTTACAATCGGATAAACAGCCATAAAATACAATTTAAAGATGCAGCTATGTTTACAACGCTGTTGCCTCAAGGATTTTCGATTTTAATGTTCCACAATTATTAACTAAAGAAAGATTCCATCAGGAGTGAAATTTTTTTCTTTGGCGCCTAACAAATGCTCAGTGTCAAATAAAACTTTTCAGGGTTCCATAGAAACGGAGGTAAGGATGAGTCCAGCTGTCGGGGCACTAAAAAGCCATTTAAGGTCAGTCACTTTTTTGCATGCGGCTATTGTCATTCAAATATAAATTCTTACGGCCTTAAAAAGAAAGCGAAACACATTTGGTGTAGTATGCTAGGTGAATTTTAATAAAACGGCTTTTTTATTTAATTTATCAAAAGGTAGAACAATATTTTATGAGCATATGATGAATGACGAATTGTAAAAAGTTTATTATTGTATCGGTAACACTCGACATATTTTGCTGTAAGGAGTAAGTTGGTCTTTTGTTTCGAATGTCAAGTAGCAAGATAATTAATCATATTTAATAAAAATTTGCCGAAAAAGGTAATCCAATAAAGTTTAATTAGATAAATGCCACTGGAACGTATACATAACATTATTAATTATTGCACGTTTTGCAATGCAAGAAACGAGGTGTGTAAATAAAACTGAAAAGCTGTTTTTGCCATTTTTTTATTGTGATATAAAATTCAAATTAATTAGTAAATCCAGACATTATTTATGAATTTAATTTTCAATTTTGAGTCTGATTCATTAGGTTTTATTTTGCATTCAAACTGGCATTTTCTGGTAATATTTTTGAAACAATAAATTCTGCAATAATGCTGCAAAATACCAAAATCACGACTTGCGTTGTAAATGATTTTATTGCTTACTATGAACAACTAAGAACATAAAAATTGAGTAACGGAACTGCCATGTTTGTTGCAGTATATGAGTCAATAATACCATAAACTGAAAATCTTTGAAAAGTACGTAAGAATAATGTGTGTATTGACAGATGCAACAATTGTTTGGAAAAAATCAATTTCAGGAAAAAACTATAAACTGTTTTGGACATATTTCCGTTTTGTAAAGAGAAGTAATAGTCAAATTTAATTGGGATTGGTTTGGAGAAGTGAGGTGTGTGCGTGTGAAATATTGTCAGAATTGGAAGCGGATTTTGAGCGTTTATCCCATCGATCGTGGGTCGTTTTTCCCATGTAAATTTATGCAAAAGCGTGTACATTAGCCGTTAATTTGACGGCAACATTCATTATAATATCAGCTATACCTACAGCTAAATACATCAATTACGTGAACGTTTACATATCATTGACTAAACGCCGTCGATGGTCGTTTTGTGTGAGGCCGTCCGAAGACATGCAAATAATTCTCCGATACGATAATGGCCCGATAATAATGACCATTATCATCACTCACTGAAAACTAATAATGAACCATTAATACATCCAATTTATTTCATTATTATAATTCATTTCTTTGGGTATATGACTCAGCTGTATCTGGTTGTCCCGGCTTTACCACAACTAATCTTCAGTGTCGGCTGTTGGTAAAGTCGGTGGCCTAAGCCAAAACACCGCTGACATTCCGAATGGTAGATGGAGAAGTTACCTGCCGCAAAATCATTAGCATGGGAAAAAAGGCCAGTCGAAAACAAAGAGCAAGCTTATGCCAAACGCGGATGAATATTTGATCGGCGTTAATTTTCTTTTGTGTGGGGGGCGTCCAAAATCCTCCCGCTCTTTCCCTTTGTGTCCGTTACTAATTATTAACGATCCCCGCAGGTGTATTCTTTCTATCCCTCCGATTTGCGGTTTTCCTACCAATTCGGTCCGAATTTCCGATTGTTTCAGACATGTGACGAAATGTTCCTCGAAAGCAATTGCCAACCAGCAGCAATGACTATAATTATCGCGACCGGCGAAATAGTTAGTTTTTTCTCGGACCCTTCGAGATTGGTGCGGATTTAAATATTGAATAGGACATGTTTTCAATGGCCGCAAAACGTGCCGAAGGATCCCACTTTTGCAAGCGCATTCTACCTGCGAGGAATAGAATTCTCGTGCAGGTGTCAAAAAACGAGCCAACACATGTCAGGTATGCGCGAGGGTGTACTCACCGTCGGTGCGGGGCGCGGGGCTCGGCGGCAGGGACCTGGGGGACTCCGTCGGCGGCCCGACTCCCTCTTCTTCGGAGCTACTCGACGGACTGCTCCCGCGCGTGAAACTTTTGTTGTTGTTCCTGTTGAAGTACACCCCGTTGAGCATCATGTGCTGTTGCGCGGCGAAATTGTTGAACTGCTTAAGCTGGGAGGCCACCGTCGTCGCAGCCTTTGTTTTGAACTTGGACATGGTGAAGTCGAGCGGCTGGTCGGTCTCGTGGCCGGAGAGGAGGACGTGCGAGGGCGGCTGGTGGAGCAACATCGGCATGTCTTCCTTCTGCCGGTGCCAGAATTCGATTGTGTTGTTGTTGATGTTGTTGTTCTTGGCGGATTTCGGAGTGTCGAGGTTGTTGTTCTGGAGGGTGGGTGACGGGTTCGACTCGACCCACCTCCGGACCGTGTCACTTTTAAAATCCGCCAGATTCGATATCTTCATTCGGGTTGGCCAGTTCACTCAGGCATCGTGCACTGCACTTTGATATGTCGTCACTGTCACTACACGGGGGTGATGATGGCATTAAGGGTTGGAGCACTGAAATGGCCACAGATTGCGTTCTTTCCCGTGCTGACGGCGCTACCGTCTATAGCCGTATAACAACGCGTATTTGCATCGGTAGGATGCTGAGAATCGGATGGAGGGGGATCTGAATCCGGGCCTCCGGGTGGTGGGGCCCGGCCTCCGCCAATCAACGTGCGCCATATTCCGATATACAATAGTATATAAATTGTATGGATTATTTATTTATTCTACATCTTATGTATGTATTTATGTGAATATATGTATAGGAGCAAAAGGATTACTGTTCCTCCTTTTTCTTCGAGCTGCTGATTTTAATGGCGCACTAAATCAATAAAATGCCATTCCAGATTATTTTATAACACAACTATCTCAAACTCTACCAATTCGGACACTGTACCAATGTTTTTAACCCCAAATTTTAACATTTACATAATTCATTCATAAAATGCAATTAAATCGACTATTTTAATGGCCCGCTAATGAAGATGAATCACGGATCTTCTATTGTAATAATTAATACCAGAAACTAATTTTAATAATCAGACAAAATTAGCAATTTTATAATTGCTTTATTACATTTTACTTAATCCAAATTTATAGACTTATTATTCTTTTAAAAAAAGTTACTTAACATTTCAGAAATAAAATCTAATTTTGTGTTTTTCCTCTCATAATCATCATAATAATATATGGAACTATTACTTTTTATTACATTACAATATTTGTAATCTGTATTTACATGAAAGTTTTTGCATTTATCAAAAAAAATTAATGTAAATGCTTAAACCGAAATTATGGTAATTACCCAAATTCTAAAGCAATAAAAATGAAACATGAATTGCTTTTGTTATTTATAACTTCATCTATTATTGTTAATTTACATAAGTAAAATTTAATTATCTAAGATTTTTTTAAATTTAAATAAAACATTAACTTATTAAAATAATACCAATTAATATTTCATCAAATGTGTATACAGAGTGAGTCAGGTTTAAAGCTCACGTGAAAAAAATCCTTTTCATCACATACAGGTGCGCCAAAATTTGCACCCCAGAGAAAAACGACATGTAAGGTAAGATACACAAAAATGTTAAAAAAATTCTACTTAAAATTTTTTTGAAGTTATGAGAGTTTAAATTTTGTACTTTGGCCGTATTTATTTCTGTGGGAAAAATATATTTCCAATTTTTTTGCTACAGGCTATTAGACGAGGAAACAAGGAAGTTGTATCCTAAATTGTAACTTTATTTAATGTTATTTGTGGATTTTATTTGTAAAATTTGTGTACCTTTACTATAAATAAATATAAAAATATATACAGGTTGCGGCAGAACTTGCGCCCCAGAGAAAATTTTCAAGTAAGGTAAGATACCAGGAACATGAAAAAAATGTTTAAAAAATTCTATCTGTCAAAAAAATTTGACATTTATTTTTTGACAGTTGACATTTTTTTATATCTCTTTAATGATACTCATGATCTTGTATATGTTTTTTTACAATTATTTAGTAAAGGGAAAAAAAATTTGCCAATAAAAGCCACAAATAACATTGAATAGAGTAACAATTTAGGATACAGCTTCCTTGTTTCCTCTTTTAATAGCCTATAGCAAAAAAACTTGGAAAATTATTTTTCAAACAGAAATAAATAGAGTCAAAGTGCAAACTTTAAACCCTCATTTATAACTTCGAAACTTTTATAGATAAAATTTTTTTAACATTTTTTCCATGTTCCTGGTATCTGACCTTATATGGCATTTTTCTCTGGGGCGCGAGTTCTGGCGCAACCTGTATACAAGATCATCAGTATCATTACAGACATAAAAAACAGATAGAATTTTTTAAACATTTTTCCATGTTCCTGGTATCTTATCTTACTTGAAATTTTTCTTTGAGACGCTAGTTCTGACATATCCTGTAGGTATATCATATTTTCTCAAATTAATTAACAAAGTTTTTGTCTCAAAAATCAGTCACTGTTTTATTATTTAAATTCAAAAACTTGACACTGTCCGACAATGAAGTGATTACCGCCCTAATACCGACCGTGCCGTAAATCAGTACTACTGTTGAAGTATTTCAAGTTAGAGGTACGCGTGTCGTTCCAAACAGCCCTCCCTAACAGACCTATTCATAAAACTTCTGGATCAACAACAATATAGCCAGAAGAATTATCCCTTTTTGTAATGACCACTATAAGTCACGTGTTGGCATAGACAATTTTATCTACGACTTGTGGTGCCTTAATTTATTTTTCTTATTTTATCATAATTACTTATATTAATAATTAACGATGTTATAAAACCTGCATTTGAAATAGCCTTTTTACGTCCACTTAATAACAAATAATATGTCCGTTTATGTTTGTGGGTATTTTTAATGTTAATGAGAGTATAATGTTACCATCAGCGTCACCTCAATTAACATTTTGATAAAACTTTTTATTACATTTAATGACTTAATTTCGAATCTCTCTGAATCGTTTGAGTTGGAAGGGTGAGTATTTGAAAAATCCACCCCTCACATTAAAAAACAGCTTTAATGATATTAATACAATAATGATAAATGATGGCAATGATCAAATCCCGAGCCCCGTCTCGTCTAAATTAAAAATGGAAAAGTTATCGGCAAAAGAGTTCAGTAATATCATTGATTTATGATGATATCGTTTGATTGTTTTTGGCCCCTTATATAGTTTATGAAAAGCGTCAATATTAGAATAAAAGAAATCAGCTTTCCGTTTTAACGTAATGAAAGCGCCTATCCCCGTTTCAGGTAAAGCAGATAATCCTGAAAGTGGGCAAGGTGGTCTGAAATTTCAGTAATTGCATTAGTCGTTTATAACGATCCATCGAACGGTTTAATATTGAAAGAGGCGTAGTCGGGGCGTCGCGACGGCTTGTTTTTTCTCTTTATCGCCGTTTTTCACTGATGTACGCATATTCAGATTTGATATGAAGGCTGAGTTCGCGCAGCCGCGCCATATTAGATATGCACCAATGCGAATCTTTCTACCCTTAACACCGATAGGGGTGGCAAGCTGCGAGATATTTTATTTTAAAACGGCTCTCTATTGGCCGTTTATCGTTTTGATATCACGAGACGAGGACGGATGGATCGTCTTTCGCGTTATGTTAAATTAAGGTGAGTGCATGCAGCGGATATGGTCGGGTTTATGGGACCCTTGCGCCACGCGCCCCATTCAACATCTTTGAAACGAATCCAATTGTCAAAGGGTTGTGTCATTTACAATTCTAACGAGCCAACCGCCGACACGTGCCTCATATTACATAATGTTTAAAGCGTTTTAAAATGGCGACGCTCTGCATCCGATTTTTTAATCGCTAACGGTCTACAAGCACCGGTAAATTTTTCATTCCGGAGTAGAGGTTTAGGTAACTGATAATTACCATTATCAAAAAATAAGTATAGTGGATGAACTGGATGAAGAGTTAACCGTAATCAACATAAAGTTTCAAACAGGTATAACAGAGAAATCAAAGCTTATGAATATGCAGAGAGGACAGGTAAAAAAAAGGCGAAGGTACTTAATTATTCAACAAACCTTAATCATTCGTGGTAGTAGATATGAAAATTTATGATGCATCGAGAAAGGTACTTCGGCTGAACTATTCAGATGTTTCCCAGAAAAAGCTCAAAAAGCTCACAATAAGCCAAGAGAAAAAAAAGTAACGACCATCAAAATTCATTAAATTTGAATCAAAATTATTTTTTAATAAATCAAACAAAACCCATTTCTAGAAAACTGAAAAAGGTATAAGTAGTTTTATTTTATTCAAAAAATAATATATGTAAACAGAAATCAAAGAGAGTAAACATACTTTTATGCTCAGTATTGAAAAAAAAAATTAAATAAAATAATTGTGATTTTTTTTAAAAAACAAGGCAATAAATTAAAAAATAGACTCAAATAATTATAGATTTTCAGAGAAGTTACAGGTGTCCAGTGTTTATGTGAATAAATTTAAATGCTATTAGTACACTTAACTATGTGTCAAATCATAGTCACAGTCATAAATTAAGTAGTCAACATTCTAGATAAAAATCCCAATTTTGGCAGAAACAGTTTGTTTAAGTTTGTTCTTCTTTACAATGTGCAAAGTGAAAGAAATTTTTGTTGGTTGATATTAAGGTACCAATTTATTTTCCCTTTTATAATGTGTATTATGTTCCTGTAATTTATCTGTTCATTAATTAATTACAGGCAAACTTTCTCTATGCCTCTCATAGAATTTTGCCCAAGTTTCTCACGATTAACTATAATTTATAGATCGCGGTGATTGATACGGGTGAAAATCCCCTAATTCTGCATTCAAAAACCCAAATTTCGAAGGGCTGAAAGGTTTCGTTTTAAAAAACGGTGCGCGATTGTTCCCAGGAAACGGGATTTCGTGTACCTTGCGACCTACATAATGTGTCTTTTTCCCTAAAAAAATGTTTTCTTAGAGCGAGAGTCGCTAAGGGCGATTTTGGCAGCTCCGCGATGGATTCTCACACTGTGTACGAATTTGGGTCATTTTTTGCGTCCCCCTTCACACCTGAACGTTTCGTATTTTTTTACCTAAAAGTGATATGGAAACGATTCGGCTTAATTCAGAATCCGCTCTATGGAAATAGCGAACTGCAGATATATTATGGCATATAGTGTCCTGTATTGATTTTAATGTTGCAGCGAGGAATTTCCGTCCTTATGGTTCATGAATATTGGATCTTGTATTCTGTATGCGGATTCGCGCAACGCTCTTCAATAATAAACACCGTTATATTAAAGTGACTCTCACTCGGGCTTACTCTCTTCTAAAGGGGTTGTGGATGGAAGGAGCTGGCAATTATCTCGTCGTCTCAAATAATTTATGAAATTTTATTGTGTCGCAAAGTTTCTCTATTGCAAAACTCGCGCCAACGAATTTTATTACAGTCTAGATTACGCCGTCGTTATTAAATTTTCAAATTGTTGCCGTCCTATCTGAATGGTTATTGCCTTTCGCCCACTTCATCCAACACAAAAACATAAACACTACATTCAAATACATGAAAA